GATATAAGTGTTATGCAAATCAATACACGTTTGCATTGAAAGCAATTCAATAATAAATGATAATATGTTTCAAATGAATCATCAATTCATGACATGTGTCCACACAATAGCCACACAATAGTATGCATGAAGTAATGATAACGTATGGACACCAGCACTGCACCAATCATTCAGTCATTTGCCGCCAAACTATGCGTTCGAACGCCGACTTCACTGGAGTTCCGTTTGGCGCCAATTCTCCACTCATTCACCGCTATTTCGGACCCTTTTCTCACATACGTCTCAATCCACTGCATATTCTTTTCATACAATTCTTTGCATTCTATTTCACGTCCAATGTATGCATTCAATGCCGAAGTGGCGTACAATTAGTGCGACGTTTTTATAACGCTTTCTAATTACTATAGCATTGGTTTGAGTCAACACTCAAATAAGTTCTCAATCTTTTGGTGGAATTTTCCATTCGTTTCACTCGTCTATTGGTTTGCTATGGGATTGCAATTTGCAAACACCGGCCCATACACTACCCCTACACCCATACAACCCATACATACAGTACTACTACTACTCAGACCCATAGATACCTATACGTCAACCTTGAGGTGCACTACAATCGCAGCCAATACTCAGTCCACTCGACACCGCATTTTCGTTTCGTTTCCTTTTCGCGGCGTTTGTCTCAAACTTTTGAGGCATTCATTCGAGTGAACAATACGTGCAGTGAAGGGCTCACTATAGCTGTAGTAGTGTTGCGTAAACGAGAGTCGACTGTAAGTGCAGTGAAGCCTCGTCTATGCATTCATTCATTCATAGGTTTGTCTGTAACTGAGTAAAGGTCTCACTGTCTGAGAGCCACTGACAGAACAGCTCTCTATTGGCGCTCATGGATGGGGCGGTGCTGAGACTCAGTCTCGCAAATGACGTTCACTTTGAGCGCAAAGTGCAGACACTGTGAAAGGCATTCGATTCTCGCATTTGGCGCTCAAAGCGATGACGTATTATATGGTTGAGCGCAGAGACAGTGAGCCTTCACTACACGTACACCGTTTGCGGCGTCGCCTCTGATTGGCTGAACGCTCGTCACGTGAGGCTATTGTCTGAGAAGTGGAGTCAAGCACTGAGTCTATGCATAGTCTGCAGTCGTATAGCATTCGAAGCATTCATTCACTCCGCGTTTCGCCGGCTTTTCACTCAAAACTCTTTGCTTTCATTACTTGTGTTGTGATTATCACCGAAACTCTTGGACACTATGCCCGCCACCAGATCCAGAACCAGGTCTGTCACCACTTCTGGCACTATCACTGTCACTATCGCTGTGTTGAGTGGACGCACCGGTCGACCGGTTGTGTGAATCACTGAACCATTGATTGAATGGAGTTTTGGTTTGCAATCTATTAATTGATTTGTTTTATGCGTTAATCAGTACCGAAGGCACAGAAGTGGCCGTCGAGGACAAGAAGGTGGACGACATCTCGACCACCAAAGAGGTGAGCAGTGATGCAGTGATACATTGAGTGGTCACTGAATGCGTGTCTCAATGGATAGGAAGTGACGGACATTAAGGAAACGGCGACTGAGGAGAAGGACAGCAACGAGTCGTCGGACAGCACTAGCAATGAGTCGAACAATGAGTCCAAAGCGGTGGACAACTCGGAGAACGGCTCCAACGATGAGGTCAAGTCAGACACCAATGGGAGCGCAGGTATGGATGGCTTAGTTGCCAACGAGTGGTGACATGCCTGAGATGACTGTCTTACTGAACATGTGGTGTATTTCAGGCGAAAAGCCGGAGAACGGGTCCGCGAACGGCAAGAGGAAGTCAGTGGGCGCTGAAGAGGGAGGCGACGCCCCCGACAGCACTGACATCACCCCTAAGAAGGCCAAAGTGGACGCCCCCACCGATGATACTAACGGTGCGAACAATGGCGGCGCCGGTGAACAGGAGGACAAACAGACTTCCGTCGAAACCAGCGCTTAATTCAAGTTTAATTCAATTAATTAATTATTTTCTCATTTGTCAGACGTTTTTCTTATAAGAAATAATTGTAATTAATATAGACTTTCGTTTAGTACTAATTTCATTCAAATTCTTATTTTTTTTCGTTTATTTTGTATTATTATTATAATTATTATAAATGTATTGGAATTAGAAATTTCATTATTTTTTTAGTATTATTTAAAATGAATTGTTTTGATGACAAACCATCGTTCGGTTGTTATTAATAATTATTTAATGTTTTCTCACTTTTATATCGCTTTGATTTGTTTTTCGCTAAATTTTCTCCATTTAATGACTTTAATGTTAACGCAAAACGAGTGAAAAATCGTAAAAAGTAAACCAAAACTTGATTTATAAATATTAGCAATACTTATGACTTGATGTGTACTTACAGTAACTTATAATTTCTTTCATTGCGTGACTTCTATTATATCATTAATAAGTCTTTGCTTTTGTTCACTAAAACTAAAGACCAGAACATCTGCAGAGGAGTGCAGGAAATGAAATGAATTATAAGTTTTACAAACATTTAATACACTTTTTGCTTCTCTACTATGTATTTATCAATAAATAACTTATTGTGTAAAACAAACAAACATATGAATTATTGAATAACTTTTGTCACATTTTTCACTGTTTTTCACTTCTGTCTCCAAACAAAAACCTTTACAATAATCTGATTATCAAACAGAAACTGTTGTCCATTCAAACCCCAATTGAATCCGTTTTTTACTATTTTGTTCACTCTTTGCACGAGTTTTTATAAATAGCGAGAATTTCTACGAATGAAAGGCAATCTAATGTTGAAGTAATTGTCACTATAATTAAAGTATGTGTTCACTCATCACACCATTTATTGAAATGCATTCCACTTCTGATTCAAAACATGGTTTACAAACCAATCCATATTTGATGTAATACTTTGAACTCGATATCAAAACCAATTTCTCATTTAATTAGCGATTCAATTGTATTTGTTTGTAGAATGCGTCCAATAAAGCAAAACAATATGTCAAACAATTTGAATATTCATATGAAATGTATCCGTAATATGACTTAGAATTCATGCTTTCATACTGTATTTGAATAAATGAATAGTTTTTCAATAGTTTTCTAATCATAGTCTCAAACTCAATGCCATCCGATATCCCAAGTCTGCAGTCTGTGAGACAGACTCTGCGCTAATTAGAGGTAAACCTCAGCACTCAAGACAACACTTTGCCATTCTATGGATGCATTGTATTCGGTCGATGACATCCCAACCTCAACACATCCAGAGCCGGATTTACAGCACAGGTGACCATACATTGAGATACCATAGAATCAACTCTCGATTCTAACTGCAAACAAGTCTACCCAATGGCCGGCCCAACGTTTGCACTACTCATAAGCTTCTCATAACAGGTATTTCTCAATCAAAAACTATGCTTAATATCCATTGAGTTCTTGTTTTGTGCTTCGCGTCTATTTTAAGACAAGTTATTTGACTTTTGGTCACTCATTCACTAAAACGACAAAATAAAACTTCACAAAAAGTGTTGAAAATATTTGAAATAATTTCATAAGTTTGATTAGTTATGTATTTTAAGGGAAACTTTACGTAAAACATGAATCGAGAGGATTGGTTTAGAGGGAGTTATATCAATTGATTTCGTAATTATAGCATATATTTTAATACATTAAAGACTGGTTTCGTATATCAATTGCTTTCCGTTAAGCATAATATTATTATAATGACCTCCTTTTCCATTTAACGGCGCTTTACTTACCTGTACTCCACAGTAATTGGTTTATCGTTAAACAGCAGTCAGTATTGGCTACAAATACGCGACACAACTGTTTATTAAATCTAATCAAATGTTCACTTTGTTTGACATGTTGTGAGCTTTAACTGTACTTTTTGTTTGTATAACTTACTAATAAACTTATATAACTTATGTGGAATTTCACTTTTATCTGACCCTAACTTATATAAAAGTATCCGCTTTTCATACTATCATATCATACAGTATAGTACAGTACAATATACTCTAATCTCTATTCAATTACAATCAAATAAATAGACAAAACTATTAAATAAACGTCAAATTAATGTGAAATAGTGTAGACTATACAGGGTACAGGTATGTTATTCGCTTTGAGACAAATAAAAACATCCCTGAACTCTAAGATTATATAATCAGCACAAGAAATAAAGTTTGAGTAACTAAGTTTATTTCGAAATGTATTTAAATTTTACAAGTATTTTTTAATTTCTACAAATTAGCACAGAAACCAACTTTTTATCATTAATTATTTATTTAAAGCACCAGAAGTATTTTATTATTATTATTATTGGCATTTAAAGGCATTATTCATAGCATGTCTTAAACCTTTAATTTGTATTTGAATAGACCTACCGGTGCATTGGTGCCAACATAGCGTATCTCGCATTCAATGAATTCTTGTATAGAAATATATGTAAAATAATTTATTTCAAATCGCTTACAAAACCTTATTTCTAATAAAATGAATGTCGGCAAAATAATTTATCAAGTTAATTCATAATTTAGTTTCACTTGAATATCATATTGATATTATATTTGAAATGTTGAGGTTTTGTTGAATAAGTTTTACACTGAATTCAAAGAAAACATATAATGTATATTTCCGGTGCTTTTCAGTATACTGTAGTAAAGAACCTCCAGTACCCTCCCGTTCCCATTTGAAGCCACAGTTTACTGAATTACTACTTAAAACCGCAATAATAAAAAGTTTAGAGTTTATTATAAAAGTGACGAAATTGACGAATCGTTTTTTAATTATAAATAATTTAATATAATTTAATAGTGAATCTATTTATTGAAAGGATTGCAATGAATGGCAAAGAGATTGGAGTGAAAGACAAAAACACAAAGAAATAAGTTTAAAGAGATTTAATCAGTAAATATACGAGTGATTGAAGTTATAGTGGAAACCAGTCATTGAAGTATACGTGAGGCACACGAGTGAGCACTGAATGAGTGAATGATATGGTATTGGCTTTGATTTGTGTGCCTTTGGATGGAAAGTGAATGCACTTAAAGTGTGTCTCAACTGAGGTTTGGCTTGAGTTGGGAGACAACGCATACACACAGACACAGACATACATTGGATCCAAGCACACATACCACACCATATCATACCAAACCATACCCTGAACCAAACCTTATGAATCCACATCTCATTTATTCTCATGTCTTGTAGTTCTCAACGACAATAAGTTCTTAGTTTTATCACAATTGGTGTTCAATAGAGACTCAAATGAGTACTAATCGTCAGAATTGTCTCATAGTTTTGAGTTCAGCCAAAGAAGGTATGCTTTTGACATTTGGATCAGATTCGCGTAATGAGTAGTAGTTTGCCATCAAATGCCTACTGATATGCTATCACTCTATTCAGGCAACTCTTCGCAGTCTTTCATTCAATGCTATTCTCTACTCAACACTGCATTCAACGTACAAATAGCCACTCCATCGGTAAGTCTTACACTTGTCATCACCAAACGGTTCCATTCATCTAATCATTTGTATCTCATTAATGAATCCAATGGTAAACTACAAAATAGGGTCGAAATGCAGAGTTTGTAAGAAGTGATGAACAGAGCAGGAAATGGTTGAATGAATTCAAACACAAGTCATTCTCCACTCCAATCAGTTTGTCTTCAGTGGACCGTAAGTTTTAATGACTTTCTATAAATGATTAGTGACTATCAATCCTTTCATTACTCAATTGACAGCTCATCGATATTCATGTCTTGTCATTCCTCACTCTCCCGGTGCTGTTATCGATTTGGTCACCGATTCGGACTTGTCGTACATTTTGAAGCACTTTGTCAAAGAGCAGAGTATGTATCCATTGGAACCGATGTCTGTGATGAGTGGCTGACTATTACACTGGTAATGATCTGTTTGCAGAAGTGATTTGTGCGATAGGGATGGGAGTGGCGGCTCTGTTCCCGGCCTACGACGACGGCAACGTCTGGTCGTTCCGTCGGTTCACTTTGACGGCTATCTCTGTGTTCGAGTTGACCCGCAATCCAGACTTCGCTAACCTTCCCATCATTCCCGAGGATGTCATCAAAGACAGGGGCGCTCTCTATAGCTCGACAAACCCGGATCACGTGGACGAAGTGCATGTGGTTGTGGACAGGCATCTGATTACTGGTCAGAACGAACAGTCGACGCTCACTGCCGTTCAGAATCTTATGATTCAATGCAATCAAAGGCAAAACAAGTCTTTAAGAGAGCGTTGATTGAGAAATGGATCTAAAATTGAGTTTTCGTTATAAATTTATGAATTCATAAATAAATTTAAATTATTATTAAATCTTCAGATTTAAATTCAGTTTTAAAGATATTTTGTTAAAATTTATTATAAATTAAAATTCATTATAAAATAATATATATATGATATATATATCGGAATTTTTAAACCTATTAATGACTCAATAATAACATTTATTTATTTTATACCGGTTTTAATGAAATTAAAATAAAATGTTGAATAAAATTCATAATTTAATCAAAAAGTGTTGTGATATTTAACGAACGAAACGGCAGCCAATTCTTTGCAAAACTCCTCGATTACTATCAAAGCCTCGATTATTCGGGAAGTCTTCTCGTCATTCACTGCATTCACTTCTTCACTCGTTTTGTCCGATTCTCCTAACAGTGCTCTTCTGGTTATCTGCAGTTTATCTCTCAGACCATTCAAGCCCTGCACTGATATCTGCAACTCATCCACCAGTTTATGCAGAATTGAAAACAGAGATCGAGTTCCGCGAACTGGATATCAAATCATTCATTCATATTACAAATTATGTCAAAAAAACTCATTTAAATACAATTTAAATGATAGATACCTAGAGGAATGGTAGGATCCAAGAGGTATTCATTAACGTATTGATTCGGGAACAATGCGAGTCTCGAGATCAAAGACGTCACCTTTAATGGGATTAACCATCAAATTAATTGACATTCAAATAAGGATCGATAGTTTGACACATACTTGGAGGTTGACTTCATACGGCAGATCAACCATATATTGCAAGTTATCGAATATCATCGACAGAAAGGGTCCCTCAAAAAACTCTTTGGTCTTTGAGTTGTGTCTGACCTTTGAGTCGCCGTTAATTTCACTAACAATCTGTTGATCAGATGATTGCACTTCTTGTGAATCGTCTAAAATCACGTTTTCTGTCGACCAGTTCTTCCATTTGTTACAAATCACTCCAATCTCTTGGAAGTGTTTTTGCGCTTCTCTTACATATGTCTCATATCCCAAGTCATCGCTGGACTGACAGCTCTTGAGTTCGTCGGGAACTAATGAAGTGAAGTATTGCAGGACTCGTTGCACGTGAGAAGTGGACACGTAATTGAAATTCGGTGTAAATCCGTTCAATAAGTCGTCGGAGTTAGCACTGGAAGGAGTGGTCAAGTGATGGAATTCACTGGAGTCCAGGTTGGAGTCACTGGTCAGCACCGACTCATCAAAATAACATCTGTCACACAGGTATTGAACCACTAATTCGTTTACAATACAAACGGAAGGCTTAATGAGAATGTCTTCAAACAACTGCATCGAAGACATACACAACTGAATCCGATTGCTGTCGATAACAACACCTGAATGGCAATCATTAAGACTAATAACTGTGTGAAGACTTTTGGGTTCAATAAGTAGACAGCGCTCTAATAAAATGCTTTTCAGTTTATTTGTCGTTTCGCTATATTTTGGATTATCGATCAATAAATCAGTTTTCGTGTCGATTAACAGGAACTCTCCCACAGTTGTGGCCAACGGCTCGCTAACAGTATTCCGCAAACAATTGGACAGTAAGACTGTGGTTAAGAAGATGTGTTCGTTGGCATCCGATTCCTCTTTATATCCATTTCCCAACAAATCAGGACAAATGCATGACTCGAGGAAATCGGTCTTCAAGTGATTCAGTAATGTCTTCATCAAAATGCCTTCATTTGCGGGCAAATGGTTTATAATCATATCATAGAAGACAAACCATCGCAGGAAACACAGAAACTTTCGGACGGCCGGCGAGAATGACTCAAAAGGGGTGCCGTTTGACGAGTCTGAACTTTTGAAGCAACAGTTGACCGCACTTTCCAATTGTTCCGGTCTTAGAGACCGAGGAATTGCCTGATAAAGAGCCACCATTTGGTCCACTATTTTACTGCAAAAGGGTGTCTCAAATGCGATGATCTGTTCCGCTCTGTCGTTGACAACAGACAAGAGTCGGATGAGAGCGTCGCCACTCTTTGTCGATATCTGTTGGTCTGGACTCTGAAGTAATGCCAACAATGCGTTAATCAATGCAAACGATTCGCTAAGAAAACAGTTGATTAGATCCGGATTTCGATGAATTTGGTCACAAATACAGGTGAGGAACTGGACTTCAGTGGACTCATAGGGACCGGCGATGAGTTTACCGCAAATGATGATCAACTTCTGCACTGAACTGTACACACATTTATGCGGAAGTAATTCAAGCGTTGAGTTCGTCAGAAGTGTGGTGAAGAAGTGGAGGATGTGTTGTGTGAGACCTAATGGATTGTCCGATTGTGCCAATACACTCATGGTGTCCAATATCTTGTGCTGAAGCAAGTACTCCATTGACGGAGCAATGGCTGAGCCGTTGACAGTGATAGTGGTAGTGGTGTTGGGCTTGTCATCACTCGACTCTGATTGCGATTCTTGAGTTTGTTCTTCGCATAAGATTTGACACATTTTCTCAAAATGAAGGCAAAGATTAGTGGACTCAATGGGTGACGAGATGTGTGTCTTGTGGTGGGTCTCATAGAAGGCCATCACTTGAGTCCAGTGCCACTGGAACTGGTCTTCGGCGGCGATGGTCGGCGCCAACACTTCCATCGTATTACTGATTGCCGACGACAACAGACTAAACATTTTGACCACAATTTCGTGAACAAGTGATCACTAAATGAATGCAAACACAACTGATTTGCGATATAATAGTGGTTTCGATGCAAACATCTGTTCGTGACTTCAATGCAAACAACAAATGGTTTCAAACATAACATCAAAACATTTATCGCTTTAAATATGCCATCAATTCATTCATGAGTTACAATCAGTTTCGCAAATACTGTTACCCCTGTTGTCACCCCCTTTTCAATGGCTATAAAGCAGTGAGACTCCTCTTTTCAATATACGTTTGTTGTGAATGATTAGTAAGTGTTTTATTAGTAAGGTGCTATTTTAATAAAACCTGCTTTTTATTATTCCGTAAAACATTTTGCTATAATAAATACAATAAGCATTAAATTTTAATGATTTATTTGTAATGACATAAAAGCATCGTTTGAATACTTATAAGCGATTGCTGCCAATGAATAGGAAGGTATGTCCGCATAAATGATGCTATCATTAAGTTGTGGTACTTTTGACAGAATCTAATTTTAGTTTTTATATTTAACTCAATACTTAACTATTATGTAATATATGATTGAGATATCATATAAGATGGTCTTTGTATCACACGATTAATGAATGGAAAGGGAATGACAGGACAGGCATGTATTAATACTATAAAGTATTAGTTTACATAACATTCTGTCAAGAATTTATTCAATCAATTCATAATCTTACGGTATATGAAAAACTTTAAAGGATTGCCAAATATTTTCATAAAAATTTTTTTATTAATATATTATTCGCACAAAACTTAATATAAATTTTAATAATAAATCCAAAAAACTATAAAAAAATTTAAATCAAATTTCAATTACATTATGTATTAATTCTCTGCGAAATAAAAACCAGAATTGCATTCATTTAAAGGATTCCTTTCAATGAATATGTATGGACTCAAAGGTATGGTGACATTTCAAACAAATCAATAAAAAATTATTCAAATAATCCTTTTTGTATCACATTTTCTCATTAATAACGATAAATGTCTTTCTGTAGAAAATCTAAACATTTGTTCCTATTTTTGTATTTCTTTTTTATTATTAAATGGTATTTATTTGTAATCTAAGAGTTAAGTCAATCTATGGTCACATGAATGAGAACAGACTGTTGGCGTAGGCCATGGGTTTGACGTTAGGATGAGGCACTTCCGAGTATGTCGTGAACCGAGGGGTCAGATCGGAGCCCTTCATCGTAATGAACGCCCCTTTGTTGCCCATTGTATCGCAATAGTTAGGCGCAGAGAATACTGTTATGCATTTGCCGGAGTGGGCCTACAGGGGACAGACATACAGTATTACAGCACTAGCATTGAGCGCACAAATAGACAAATACCTCTTCATATCCGTCGGGTTTGACTTCATGGCTGCGAATAATGTAATCAATTTTGTTGAGCTTACAGAAGGTGTCGGTCACGTCGGGCCCGAACTGAACGCCGACCCCGCGTTTGCTGGGGGCGCGACCTTTGGATGGCATCGGGTCTGACCAGAGAATGTCACACATAATGCCCTCATCAGGTGGCTGTCGGTTGCGATCAGTGGTGCGGATGTCGTCCAGAGTGACGGTGTCGGTGCTGAAGAGGCCGCCATGCATTACAAGCACTCTCTCATTGATACAGTGGGCCAGAGGTAACAGATTAAACACTTCGGCAAACAATTCGTACATTTGTGACGTGTATTTGGCTTTCACTTCGCCCTCGAAGCCATACATTTGATTCATAGTCTGACTTTCGTGATTACCTCTGGACATAAAAAAGTGTTTGGGATACAAGAGTTTGAAACCAATTAGAGTGAGAATGCATTCGACAGAGAAGGAGCCCCTGTCGACGAAGTCTCCGTTGAATAAGTAGGGGTTCGTCTCAGACGGCAATCCATTCAATTGGAAGATATTCAAGAGGTCGTAGTACTGGCCGTGGATATCACCGCAAACCGTGAACTTCTGGTCCTCGTCGATGTGGACGTCCACTAAAGTCAGGTCTTTAGCGAACAGTTGTCTCGCGTCTAAAATCATTTTATAGGCGTATTTGCGGTGAAGCTTCTGTCGGTCTTTGAAATAGTCCATCATTTGTGTCATAAACTCTTTGGTAACCCTTCCGTCCGTCAGTTTGGGGCCGTCGTAGTCATCACTGATCGACATACTCTCCAAGTCTATCGACTCGGCCACAGACTTCTTCACCTCATCCACAGCTATCGCCCTCTCGAAGGCCAGTCGGCGTACAATCTTCTGGCACTCGTTGTGCCGATTCTTGGCGTCGGCGTCGTTGGGCCTGTACTTCACCACAGTCTCCAAGTCTTTGACGGCGAGTTTGAATCGGTTCAGTGCCATCTGAGCCATGGCTCGTCTGTAGTAGCCTTTGATGTAACTCTTGTCCAATTCAATGGCTTTGGAGGCGTCGCCCAACGCGTAGCCGAAGAACTCCTTCTTGAGGTAAGCGATGGATCGGTTGCCATAGAGCTGGGCATTGGATCCGTCCATTTCGATGGCTTCAGTGTACAACTCGATGGCTCTGTCGTACTCCTGTCTCTTGAAGTGATCGTTCGCCACATTCTTCACCTCTTCCGCACTCATCCTCTGATATGGATCTGATTCTTGTCGACAACCACTCAATCAAATGATTACGCAATCGATTCCGTTTCGGCAGATAATCAACGAATCGTTGATTCAATCAATTTATTTACAATTTATTACAAAATGAATCGAAATTATGACTAAATATTGTAAAACTCTTTCATTTGTTTTACAGACAATCCATTCGCACATAAATTACAACTCAATGCAAGCCATCCATGCATTCAATGTTGCCGTCAATCTATGGGACACTCAATGAAACCGCTAAACACTTCATTATAATTATGATTAAATTGTTTGAAAAAATGTGCAAATTTTCGTTTAATAGCAATACTATTCTGAATTAATTCATATGATATACATGTTAAGTGAATTGAGTTTGTGTTCACGTAATTCACTGCAAACTACACTAATAGTTCAGCTCATCATTAGTAAACCTTATAATTAGTGGCAAAGTATTGAAATATTGAAAGTTTCGAAAATGAATCGATTTATGCATTCATTGCATGATTTCTAGTGAACGTAAGAAGTTTTCAAATTAGGAAATGAATGATTCATTTATATGATTAAAGCTGCAAATATTTCCTCCTATTCTGAGTCTTATTGAAGTATTCATTGAATACTTCATTGAACTCTCAAATTGAAAGTTTCTATGATTCTGGTCTCAGATTTTCATATTTAACAATAGTTTGCATTTATGTTTAAAAGTGCATTCAATATAAATATATTTATTACAAAATTCTAATGACATTCATATCTTTCACATTAAGAATATATATTTACTGCTAATCTCTAACGTAAGAACATGTGATAAAGTTTTAAATCACTGATAAAGGCTTTATTCATGTGTTGCAGTATATTCTCAACATTACACTCGGATTCTTAAGTTGTATTGCGAAAACAATTTCTAAAATCTACTTGTTATAAAACTTATACAAAACTATATTTTATATACAGTAATTCTAATGTAATATAATATTTATGAAATACAATATCAATTAGGATCTACCTTTATCTGACATTATTTCATAAATCTTTCAATTAAATCATAAGCAGTTTAATTGACTAATAAACTCAATTGCATTACACACCCATTTTAATCTACTTTTAAGTCATTTATTATGACATTATACCATGGTAACATCAAAGGTTTAATTTAATTTATTCTTAAGAACTTAATACTGTATCAGTTTCATGACTACAGTATGTCATTATGAATCTGTAATTAAGAATATATAAAATGGATATTAAATCAGGATATAAATAGTCTAGCAAATGATTTATTTAATTATTTCACTCATAACCCATTGTTGACAAGATAATATTATTGATTTATTAAATCTATAATTTAGAAATATATATATAAATTGAAACAAATAACTCAATTTTCATAGTTTGGAAAACCTTTTAGTTGTACTCAAAAATAGAGTTAACAAACGGAAAGTATAGAGAATTGAAATGTCGGTTAAATTAATAATCGGCACATTTGTGTCAATTGCTGTACTTTTTCTGGTTGAATGTGAAGGCATTCGTCACTTCAATGGTTATTCAGTCATTCGTTTAATACCTGAGACTGAATCGCAACTCAATTATTTGCGTCAATTGGAAAACAATGCCTTAGATGTAAGTTTTGACTAACTTTTGTGTCAATTCTTTGTGACACTTAACTTGATTTAAAGCTTGACTTCTGGAGGGGTCCCTCATATTTGGGAAGACCCGTCGATGTCATGATTCCCCCGCAACTCAACCATACATTTCAACAAAAACTTTTGTGTCAATTCTTTGTGACACTTAACTTGATTTAAAGCTTGACTTCTGGAGGGGTCCCTCATATTTGGGAAGACCCGTCGATGTCATGATTCCCCCGCAACTCAACCATACATTTCAAGAAATTTTCAGTAAAAAATTTCCACAAAAGTCTCTTATGATCGATGATTTAGAAAAGTATTTTGGATAATAATATAATTACAAAAATTACATAATTGTTAACTAAAACTGTTTGAAAACTTTGTTCAGAACATTGGCTGAAGAAAGAAAACCTTTTGTGCCGATAAACACTTTGGACACAAAAGCAGATGTTGTGGACAAACATTTCGATGATTACCAAAGACTGGACAAAATTCACGCCTTCTTGGACGCCATTGCAGCTCAATATCCGTCTATCGCAGGGGTCGAGACTATTGGCACCTCTTATGAGAAGCGAAATTTAAAGATCATTCGCATAGGAGTGAACCAGGCTGCCAAAACTAAACCCATTATCTTCCTGGAGGGCGGAATCCACGCCCGCGAGTGGATATCTTCCGCAACCAATCAGTTCTTTGCACAAGAGTTGGTTCAGAGATCTGAATCCGATGCCGATGTCAAAGATCTATTAAATACATTTGATTTTTACATTCTTCCAGTTCTTAACGCTGACGGGTATTGAAATATAATATATGGTTAAGAATTTTGAGCCTGATCATTGTTTTATAACTAGCTATGAATACACGCACACAGATAATAGGATGTGGAGAAAGACTAGGCAACCAAATGGTTTGTGTTATGGTATGTATTATCGTATAACTCAGTCTACAAATGGTTTATCAAAAGCTATTAATGATCTATGAATGCAATTCAGGTACTGATCCTAACAGAAACTTTGCGTACCAATGGGGCGGAGAGGTTAGGTTTTATATCTAGTGAACGTTCACTTTTAAACCTAACATAAGCGTCTATTTAATCCTAATAGGGAGCCTCCACTAATGCATGTGAGCTGTGGTTTGTTTGTTGAATTTAACTGTAGTTTAAAACAAATTGGTTACCAATTAGGCGCCGAAACATACAGAGGACCCAAAGCTTTCTCTGAACCCGAAACTAAAGCCGTTTCTGATTTTGTGTTGAGTAAGGGTACAAAAGTTAAGGCATATCTGGCAGTCCATTCCTACGGACAGTACTGGTTGTATCCCTGGGTAATTTAGTTGCAAACATATTTTGTACAGATCATTGTGAATGAAAATATTAATTAATTATAGGGTTATACAAGTGCTTTGACTAAAGACGACGCCGCACTCGTATGTATTGACACAATAATTTAAAGTATTATTGAAGTATTTGAAACTTTTATAACTATTTAAATGACAGAATCGTGTGGCAAAGGTAGCGACCACTGCTTTGGCACAGAAGTATAATACTAAATACACAATCGGAACTTCAACCAATGTTCTTTGTACGTGCTTGCTTATATTTATTATTTTATATTCAGAATATGAATACTTTATAATCTTTACAAAATAATTATTTGTATTTTCAAATCAAAAGACGCGGCGGCCGGTGGAGCAGACGGTAAGACTTGTGTTATAAATATATTGTATACTAATTGTATATCATTGACGGACAGACTGGGCTTACGGGGGCGCCGGCATTAAGTATGCCTATACCGTTGAGTTGAGAGACACCGGTTCCTATGGATTCTCTCTGCCAAAGGCACAAATCAGACCCACCGGTGAAGAAACAACGGCTGCTTTCATTGCATTCGCCAAAGAAGTCAAGAAAGAGCTGTGAAGTCATTAGAGTTGAGAGACACCGGTTCCTATGGATTCTCTCTGCCAAAGGCACAAATCAGACCCACCGGTGAAGAAACAACGGCTGCTTTCATTGCATTCGCCAAAGAAGTCAAGAAAGAGCTGTGAAGTCAATGACTATAATCGCATTAAATTAACGCAAATAATAAAGTTTCAATTTTAACAATTTATTTATTTTAATAATTTTAATTTATTCTTAAGAGTTCATTGAAATTACAAAACAATGTGTTTATATTATACATTGACTATAATCGCATTAAATTAACGCAAATAATAAAGTTTCAATTTTAATAATTTATTTATTTTAATAATTTTAATTTATTCTTAAGAGTTAATTGAAATTACAAAACAATGTGTTTATATTATGGAAAAAGTGTTTATGCTATTTGACCTTAGATTTCATTAACAAAAGTTGTTAAATAGATTACAGAATATCACTATAATTCTGTTTAATGAGTTATTTTTAGTAACCTCTAATCAAATATCTAGTAATTATAGTTTATTTATTTCAAAATAAGTATGCTCTTTGTTGCATATTTCCTAATAATTCATAACATTTTAAATAATACAAATCGATGATTCATATGGAGATCTAGAATAATACTTAGAGTGATTCATAATATCCGATAATTAATATAATTAATTGGACAAGTGTACATTGACAATAATTTAGCAATACAGAATAATTTCTATTATATAAGTTACAATTTATAACAACGTTCTGCACATTATTTAAAATCTATATAAGGTATTCTACTGGTACAATTTATTTTATTCACATTTTTTGCAGTTAATTCTATAAAAGGGAATACAACATTAAAAAAATTAACATTGAATAGTTCAGTATTATACATTGTGTAATTACGATATTACTTAGCAATAGTTTAAATTTAATTTGTTTTGACAATTGTTGATAAAGTTTACTGACCTTAAGATTTACTTAATTAGTGATAACCCGTATATAATACAGTGTCTTTCACCATGGACCTCCGCCTTTTAATTGCAATATCTCAAAAACTAAATTAGATAGCAAGGTACTCTCGACGGTTTCTAAAACTAGAAAGTATAGCAAATTTTTTGACCTACTGATCACCCAGGTGCGACTTATATTAATGTTATTTCTATGGGATTCTCTAGAGTTACCCTTTAAAAGTTAGTTATTAATTATTGTTATTTTACCATCGAACCATTTTCACAAGTTATCGAGTTTCTCTCTCTTAAATTAATATAAAGTTTACCACATAGTAAGCAATTCTAGGGAATTATATTTCTTGATTTAATTAATTATATTTATTTAAATATATTTACAGCTCAATACGGTAACTTAGGTTAATACATTGACACTAATTATAATTAAATTATCTAATTTGTTATTAAGTTATTCATATTAAGGCTGGAGTTGCTCAGATACACCATTTGAAAGATAATTAAATTCTCTCTCTTTGAGCTATTGAACACTTTTACCAAGATACTATATTATTATTATTAATTATTGATTGAAAATTTCCCATTGAGATTTCCATATAGATTCTTGATTTTCAAAAGTTATTTGTGACTGAACTATATGTCGGAGCTGAGAGATCTCGATGCCATATGAAAGTTCATACCTTCCTCTATAAAATTGCTATAGATTGTATTTACCTTGCTCATTTTGTTCATACTGTAACTCATGGCTGCAAGAGTGTCCATAGAAATAGCAGTAATATAAGTCGCACCTGGGTGATCAGTATGTCAAAAAATTTCCCATACTTTCTAGTTTTAGAAACCGTCCAAAAGTACCGTGCTATCTAGTTTAGTTTTTGAGATATTGGAATTAAAAGTCAGAGGTCCATGGTGAAACACACTGTATTTTTTAAAATCTAAACTGAAACCAAGTTAAATTGACTTTACTCATTTACTACTGAGTGTTGAATATCAAATGCATTTTACTTTTATAACTTTGTAATAAAACATCTACACTATACTATTCTTATTGGTTCCTTATGTTACAAACAATCAAATTCAACATGGATGATCAGTAGGTCAAAAAATTTGCTATACTTTCTAGTTTTAGAAACCGTCGAGAGTACCTTGCTATCTAATTTAGTTTTTGAGATATACCAATTAAAAGGCGGAGGTCCATGGTGAAACACACTGTATTATAAGTGGTATTTAATGAGCTGCACATTAAATAAAACTTATTTTAAATTCTAATAAGATTCAAATTATCATTAATTTGCTGTAAATACCAATTAAAAGGCGGAGGTCCATGGTGAAACACACTGTATTATAAGTGGTATTTAATGAGCTGCACATTAAATAAAACTTATTTTAAATTCTAATAAGATTCAAATTATTATTAATTTGCTGTAAAAATAAAAATTAATTACTTTATTTTAAAACTCAACTTTATTTTAACTGAAAATTGTTTAAAAAAAATTCTAGTTATAAAGCTTTGAACAATAAATAATACTGTATACTAATAATAATGATAATACTAAAATCTACTTGTTATAAAACTTATACAAAACAATGTTTTCTCGCACAAAACTATATTTTATATACAGTAATTCTAGTTTAATATAATATTTATTAAATACAATATCACTTAGGATCTACCTGTATCTGACATTATTTCNTAATATAATATTTATTAAATACAATATCACTTAGGATCTACCTTTATCTGACATTATTTCATAAATCTTTCAATTAAATCATAAGCAGTTTAATTGACTAATAAATTCAATTGCATTACACACCCATTTTAATCTACTTTTAAGTAATTTATTATGACATTATACCATGGTAACATCAAAGGTTTAATTTAATTTATTCTTGAGAACTTAATACTGTATCAGTTTCATGACTACAGTATGTCATTATGAATCTGTAATTAAGAATATATAAAATGGATATTAAATCAGGATATAAATAACCTAGCAAGTGATTTATTTGATTATTTCACTCATAAACCATTGTTGACAAGATAATATTATTGATTTATTAAATCTATAATTTAGAAAAATATATATAAATTGAAACAAATATCTCAATTTTCATAGTTTGGAAAACTTTTAGTTGTACTCAAAAATAGAGTTAACAAACGGAAAGTACAGAGAATTGAAATGTCGGTTAAATTAATAATCGGCACATTTGTGTCAATTGCTGTACTTTTTCTGGTTAAATGTGAAGGCATTCGTCACTTCAATGGTTATTCAGTCATTCGTTTAATACCTGAGACTGAATCGCAACTCAATTATTTGCGTCAATTGGAAAACAATGTCTTAGAAGTAAGTTTTGACAAACTTTTGTGTCAATTCTTTGTGACACTTAACTTGATTTAAAGCTTGACTTCTGGAGGGGTCCCTCATATTTGGGAAGACCCGTCGATGTCATGATTCCCCCGCAACTCAACCATACATTTCAACAAAACGATTCTGTCATTTAAATAGTTATAAAAGTTTCAAATACTTCAATAATACTTTCAATTATTGTGTCAATACATACGAGTGCGGCGTCGTCTTTAGTCAAAGCACTTGTATAACCCTATAATTAATTAATATTTTCATTCACTATGATTTGTACAAAATATGTTTGCAACTAAATTACCCAGGGATACAACCAGTACTGTCCGTAGGAATGGACTGCCAGATATGCCTTAACTTTCGTACCCTTACTCAACACAAAATCAGAAACGGCTTTAGTTTCGGGTTCAGAGAAAGCTTTGGTTCCTCTGTATGTGTCGGCGCCTAATTGGTAACCAATTTGTTTTAAACTACTGTTAAATTCAACAAACAAACCACAGCTCACATGCATTAGTGGAGGCTCCCTGTTAGGATTAAATAGACGCTTATGTTAGGTTTAAAAGTGAACGTTCACTAGATATAAAACCTAACCTGTCCTCCCCATTGGTACGCAAAGTTTCTGTTAGGATCAGTACCTGAATTGCATTCATAGATCATTAATAGCTTTTGATAAACCATTTGTAGACTGAGTTATACGATAATACATACCATAACACAAACCATTTGGTTGCCTAGTCTTTCTCCACATCCTATTATCTGTGTGCGTGTATTCATAGCTAGTTATAAAACAATGATCAGGCTCAAAATTCTTAACCATATATTATAAACCATATATAATTTATTATTTAATATTATTATATTTCAATACCCGTCAGCGTTAAGAACTGGAAGAATGTAAAAATCAAATGTATTTAATAGATCTTTGACATCGGCATCGGATTCAGATCTCTGAACCAACTCTTGTGCAAAGAACTGATTGGTTGCGGAAGATATCCACTCGCGGGCGTGGATAATACATACCATAACACAAACCATTTGGTTGCCTAGTCTTTCTCCACATCCTATTATCTGTGTGCGTGTATTCATAGCTAGTTATAAAACAATGATCAGGCTCAAAATTCTTAACCATATATTATATTTCAATACCCGTCAGCGTTAAGAACTGGAAGAATGTAAAAATCAAATGTATTTAATAGATCTTTGACATCGGCATCGGATTCAGATCTCTGAACCAACTCTTGTGCAAAGAACTGATTGGTTGCGGAAGATATCCACTCGCGGGCGTGG